GAGCCTATAATCATTGTGCAGGTTTTTCCTCCCAAGGTGAAGAACCTTGTATTTTTCTGTGTTGAACACCATCAGGTTCTCCTCTGCTCATTTCATGAGTCTGAACAGATCCGCCTGAATCACCCTCCTAGGTGATGTGTGGATGCTTTATCCCAGAGTTTGGTGTCATCGGCGAACTTGGCCAGTCCTCTTCTGACACCAATGTCCACATCACTGATGAAGATGTTAAACAGTATAAGCCCTAGGATACAGCCTTGTGGGACCCCACTGGTCACAGTGCACCAAGACGATTGGCTCCTGTCGACTACCACCCTTTGGGTCCTACCATGGAGCCAGTTCCCCAGCCAGGGATCGTGGTGACGTCAAGGCTGCAGTTAGCCAGTTTAGCCAAGAGGTGATTGTGGGATACCAGATTGAAGGCTTTTTTAAAGTCGAGGTATACGATATCGATCTCTTCCCCCTTGTCCAGGTGATAAGTCACCTGGGCATAAAAGGAAATGAGATTGGTCAAGCAAGACCTACCCATAACAAACTCATGCTGGGTATCCCTCAGGATATTGCTTTCAGCTAGTCTGTTAAGGATGGCCTGCTTGATAATCTTTTCCAAGACCTTCCCCAGAAGGTATGCTGAAGCCCATCAAGGAATTGATAAGAAAAGGAAATAATCCTAAACCTGGACCTCTGATGGCTGAAGAAAGTGGCCAAAGAATAGTAGTCCATTTTTATACTATACAAAACATGCACCTTGGATACATGAAGGGTGAGTTTCATTCACCTCTCATCAAGATGCAATGCTCACTGCGATAAAACTGCCATTTGCTAACACCTTCCAAACTGTTCTGTAGGAACTAAATATGTAATGTCAGCAATTGTTGACTTTTTAATGGTGGTCACTGTGTTAGAGATTTGTCACACCATATGTGCATGACATACAGAAAAAGAAGAGACCAGGGAAACCCTCTATGCATCAATGAGTAAACAAGGTCCATAGAAAGTTCATTATCTTTAAAAACCAACTTCTGGATTGAAATTTGAAGGCATTTATACTTGGCCATTTTCATAACAGATTCTGTTTTGTTTCCTGAAGATTACCAATTTTTCTCACATACCACATGACCCAAAACAATATACAGTATGCCTTGGTTCTGAAAGGCAGAATGGAAGAAAAAAAAAGATTTTTTTCCAGTTATGGCTGCATAGAGCAGAGACCAAACCTAATCTTCAGCGGACTCTCTCTCCCTTTTTTGCTTAACTAAAGCTGATATCCCAGCTGCTGCTGAAGCCTGCTCACCATGGGTGGATCTATGATTTTGAAAAGAGATAAGGAGTTTTCATGGTTGTAAAATAGGAGGACAGAGACCACAAACACTTATCATGCAGCAAACTGTCCTAAGAAAGGCTAGCTTGATTAGTGGACTATCAAAACCATTAGACAGGAGACAAACATCAACACCTGTGGAGTGAAAAATGTACATGCCATTAAGTCAACTGACTTCCTGAGCTGCCTGTGGTTAATAATGCCACAGCTGCTGCATCAAAGTGGGTGCTTCCATCTCAGGCAAAGAATCAGCTTCCCTTAATACGCAGTTTTGTTGGTGATTTTTTGGGAAAAAGCTATGCGTTGTATGCAAGAAAATATGGCAATACCAATAAACTTCAGACCACTAGTTCATAGATCTTGTAACAGATTCTGTTTAGCAAAGCTCTATCTTAAGTTGCTTCAATAATAGCATTTTTTGCTCCTTACCTCTGGGGTGAGGTATTTCATCATGATTTCCTTTCCTTTCTCTCCCAGTGTTTCATCTGGAGCAATTTCATATTCTGCCTGGAACAGATAAAAAGATCACCAGTATTAGCACTCGTATTTCACCATTATAACATGATTTAGGACATAACCTCAATTGAAAGATTCCAGGTGAATAATTTGGAAAACAAATATAATCTTCTGATGAAGCCTGTAGAGCTGATTTGTACTGAAAAATGTAGACTTCAAAATGTTTTGACCAAAAATGAAAAAATTAGTTTCTGAAATGAGCTGTTCTAAGTAGTGTGCATAGGAGTAGTTTCATTCATTTATGCTTTACAGATTTGTCAAGCTAATGTTTTGAAAATGTTTCATAATTAGGGACCACTCTCAGGGATCTTTACATGTTTTTACTCGCTGTGTGCTTGGAAATTAATTAGTCTAATGGATAAAAGAAGTGTATTTGTTTTGTTAATCTCTACCATGGGAAAACAATTTTACTTAGGACTAACAAGAGCTTTCTCAGTAGGTAGAAAAACAGGTATTCCCATGGTTTTTCTTTCTTTCAGTATAAGACTTGTTTCTCAAAACTTACCTCTACCTCAAAAAGATTCTGCTAATTATTTTTAGTGCTCGTTGAAGCAACTTCTTTAAAAAGGGAGATCTCTAAAACATGGGGTGTTTCAAGGCCTGGTAAATTAAAAGGACAGGGCTATATTCAATACATACGGGAGTGATCTTTGATTTCAACTATGCATTACAAGAGCATGTGCATACACTGTTTAGATTTTTAAAATATTATTGAGTATCTTGCATGTTGTATGAATGCTGACCTGTGATGAATTTCAGGATGTTTTATGTAGGAAACAAAAGGAAGTCCTAATCTTGTACTACTGAGACATAGTTTAGTAGTATTAGCTCAATAGTTCATAGTTCAGTGTCTCAATAGCAGAAATGATCAGAGTAGGGTGCGGGCCCCAGGGCAAATCAGCTTGTGCGGGCCCCACCTCTGGACGCGAGGAAGCTGGTGGCAGATTTGGCGGGGGGGGTGGAAGCAGCTGGACGTGCCAATTTCAGCAGTGGATTCGGCAGCAGGTCTGAGCAACCAGACGTGAAGACCGTGGCAGCATGTAATTGCCGCACTGCTCTGCCTGGCTCCACGGGGCCCCCCCAAAGCACGGGCCCCCCCCAAAGTACAGGGCTGGGGCGGTTGCCCCTATTTGCGCCCCCTAGGGACAGCCCTGCTCAATAGCATACTATTGAGACATTGAGACAAAGTTCGCCACCAATGCAAGCTACCGTTTGCAGTCCCAGCTAAGACAATAACTAAATGATAATGAAAATTATGATAGAGAAGTAAGGCTGGAAAGGATCTCAAGAGATCTTCTAGTTCAGGGGCGGGCAATTATTTCGGGTGGAGGGCCGCTTACTGAGTTTCAGCAAGCCATCGAGGGCCTCATGACAGGCAGCCCAGGGAAGATTAATATTAATTTTCTAAATTTTTTAGGGACCCCGCGGGCCAGATAGAATCGCCTGGCAGGCCGCATCTGGCCCCGGGGCTGCATTTTGCCCACCTCTGTTCTAGTCCACCCAAGCATCAAACCGCAACCTTGATGTTATTAGCACCACACTCTAACCAAGCCATGGGAGGGTTTCCCTGTGGGGTTTTTAGAGAAATTCTAATTTGCTACTGCCTGGGATGCAAAGCTTCAGTACTAGGCTCAAGAGGTTTTCCAGAAAAAAGGCAACACACACTTTTTTTTTTTTTTTTTTTTTTTTATGAATGCTCATATTAGAAAAAGGATCCCAGATCCTCTTGCCAAACCAATTAAGTAACCTAGTCCAATACAAGCTGTCTCAGATGATAAATGGGGAGGAAGTAAAAGAAAACATAAGGTAAATCAGTCTGAACTGGCAACCACTTGGAAGAACAACCTTCAGAACTGCTGCCCGCTGCAAGACGTATGTACTGCTCTGAGTTTGGTACAATAAATCAGAGGGAAGACTGTAATAAATATGCTAGCTACACAGACTCAGGAACAACATGAAAAGCACAAAGTAGTAATAAAGGTGTTACCCATGCTATCTGGCCAGTGCTGATTTAGCCATTGTAGCTGAGGCTTAAATCTGCATATTTATCTACCAGACATAGCAGGTTGCTTGAATGGTTTAGATTCAACCTTCAGATTTGGGATGGTAAATAATAATGACTACAAAGAAAAACTGTACTGTAGAGAAATATATGGACAAGAAAAAACCACAAATATTGTGCTTCTCTGTTAGTGACCATGTTGGGGATGAACTGATTATGTTCTCATAAAACGTAATACAAGGGTTTTCTTAATAAAAAAAAATCTTTCATCCAATTTCCTATGCATTTAGATGGTATCTGAGTAGAGGTCATTTCAGCTCTTGAAAGCATGAACACACTAGGATGTTTATAGCATCTTAACAGCATTTTTCTCCCCGAATCTCTGCTGAAGGATAAAGCAACAATAACAAAAAGAGCAATTTTAAAAGGTCAGAGAAGCTACATCTTATCTGGGCACTCAGTTTGTGATAATTTGAGACGCAGGCCAGGGGTTTTTAAATCTAAAATAAAGATTGTAATATACTGACTTTTAATAAGGAGAGAAAATATTTGTATTTAACTTTCTGGGCAGAAAGTGTAAAACAAAGAGCCAGAACTTATTGGTAACGTCTCAGCAGAAAAGCATTTGGGAGTAGAACTAAGACCTCAATCCAGCAGAATTCATAAATCATCTAACAATTATCATTAATTTTTCCTTCAATAGCTTTTAGACGCTAAATATTTTCCCATCACACTCTGAAAATTCCTCCAAGAAGGTTGGCAAATAGAACCCGTCACAGATTTTAGTGGAACGGCATTCATACCTAATGCTGCTGAGATAGTCCATATACTTTGAATTAGCATAATATTTGCTTTCATCAAGAATCCAGGTGGCATTCTTAAAATATGGAGAGTATATGGTGAATGCCTGGCAAGTACCCAGCGCTGGCTACTGGAATTAGACTTATGGACATTTGTGACTGTCTTGCTTACCAGCTGAAACAGAAGACAGGGTAAAGAGATTTTGGTTTATTTCAAGTAGAAGAAGCACGGGTTGCTGCAACAGGTCAGTTCTGATCTCTGCCATGTGAATTAAACCTATTTTATGGCAATGGTGCCCATATGTAGCTACTGACTGGTGCCAAACAGTTTCAGAGAACTCTTGAGAGTCCTAGGTGCATGACTTGCCTTTACTGACCCATCGGGATTGTGCCAAGTGTTTACTGGGGCATGCACAAGACACGGATCCCTACTACATAAGAGCCAGTATCTTCAAACATGAGTTTCTCTCTTACTATGACTTGATTATTACAACTCATTGGATCTAGCAATGAGGATGCAGACCCTGAGAAAGCAACATCTGGTACAAAACACAGCAGCCTGCCTGCCTGGCAACCTAGGGTGTTGTGAACACATCATCTCAAAGCTCAGCTCTGAACTGGTTCCCTAGTAAACAGAGACCAGTTCAAAGTTCAGATGCTCAAGGGGGACTGTCTCTACTTAATAGGAGACTGACTCTCCTTTTGCCACTATCACATCCCTTTACTGTTATATTCCACCAGAAGAGAGCGAAGCTGCTAACCAACAAACAAACCAGGGAAAGCCTGGCGAGAAGGACAATACCCTAAGAGACACTGGACCACGTGATGGAAATCGCTCCTGCAGGAGACGGGCATGTTGGTGGATCTTACCGTATTCAAAGCTTAATGCAAACATTTTTTTTTTTTTTTTACTAACTTTTCTGTAATGTCTCACACACATGCATGCGCATGGAGAGAAGCAAAGGGAGACTGTTATAGTTATTTCTTTTTAAAATCTCAGGCAGGGCTTAGATACTTTGGTGAGATATAGAGGAGTTTGAAGGTCTGAAAAGGGTCTGAAACTTTTAACACTGGTGCGTGCTGAAGATTTTAGCTTATCTCAAGGGTTAGGAGTCTGGCTTCCTTTTTTTTTTGGTGGGGGGGAAGGTTGCAGGAAGCAGGGTTTAGGGTTAGGCTTTAAAAAAGAAAGAAAGAAATATATACATTGATTTTATTCCTACTGCCATTTATGTGCATCTCAGCTAACAACAGGTATCTGTACCATACTAGAGAGTTGTGCAACAACAGAGCTTAAATGACGCGACTAACATCCCACACAGTGGGCTGCTGGGAAGAGCACGAAGCTCTCGCTCCTGGTCTTGTGCTGGAACCACAAGACCCATCTTTCCTCAGTACTCAGAAAAGTTTGAAAGTACATAATAGAAACAACAGCGCTGTTACTTAAAATGCAATTAAAACCATCTTCCCCATTATCCGTTCGACAGGCTGGTGTTTAAGGACTCCCACCCTGAGGTTTAGTAGAGTTTCCAGTGCTGGTTAGGCCAGACAGAGCCCTATTCATTGCTCATAAATGAGGCAAGGATTTATGATACCTTTGACTGCATGGGGTTAACAGGGGACAGGGCAGGACTTTTTTTTGTGGGTAGGCTCTGCTCCTTCAATCTGAACTGCGAGAGGAGCTGGGCGGCCCCTGTTTGCTATAAACTTTTCATCTGGCTGGTTTTTTTCTGAGGTAATAGTTACTTAAATGACTGGGACAGGCCACTGGCTGAAGTGATCAGACATAACTATCTGCACTGATTATCGATACTAGTGATGGGTAGGAAATTATCCGGTTTTGACAAACTGTTATTTCCTGATGCAAAAAGCCTCACTGAAAAAATCTTGATGAGGTTTTACATATGCTTGCATGAAGTGTAGCTTGTGTAGCATGCATGAGAAGCAAACTAAACAAATGAAATCAGTGTAGAAGAAAAAGGTAAGTACTAATAGCTGCCATTAAAAGGATATTTATCTAACATTTTACCTAATAAATGTATGACTACCTGATAAATTCCGCATGGCTAGAGACAGGCATTCAAAAAGCCTGAGCCTGAGTTGATTCAATCTTTGCAGGATAGTTTAACCTGAAGAGACTGAACTGATTTGCAAGTGAATAGATGTGCATTTTTAATTCAGGAAATGCAGGC